TGGCAATTACAGGGGTCCCTACATTAACCTTACCACACCCGACAATGATCAAGCCTTGAAGTGGCCCTCTCAACCCTCTACAACCCCGCACAGGCACCTGGGAACATGAAGGTAGCAACCTTGAAGACAGGCTCAAAGAGTTGGGCGTTTACATGGTTTAGGGCTTTGGGTCTTGAACACCGCCTTGGGCTTTGGGATTTCGGTCCGGGGGCTTGGGTTCAGGGGTTAAGGTTTAGAGTGTTGGACATGTTGCTCTTCCTTTTTCATCTCGCAGCTCCCAACCACATGCCTAGTGACTACTGACTATTTCGGCGTAAGTAAGGCTATCTTGGTAGGAAAAATCCTGAACACCGAGAACAGGGTCTTTGGCTGAGGCTTCCGAATCTGAGAGCCGGTTGTTTTTCGTAAGAAGAGCCATACACACAATTGCCGACTGACACGTCAGCATGAAACATGTAGCGAGAATTTACTAGCAACACGCCTGACATGCTGCTGCCTATGGTATAGGAATATGCAAGGACCGGTTCAGGGTTTAGGGTTCAGGCTCTAGGGTTAAGGGTTCCCAAAACCTTAAGCCCTTAACCCTGAAACCTGTACATCCCTAGCAGTTCTCGAAGTCGGGAAGCATGCAACCAAGTGAAACCCGCAAAGGGAACTCCAGCCGAGACCTTGAACCCTAACCCTAAGGCTTAAAATGGCCCAAAAGCCTTATATGATATGGTCTTTAGGCCCAAAACCCTTAGACTATGAATCCTTGGAGCCTTAGGGTCAACCTAAACCCACAACCCGCGGGCCGATGCCCCTAAACCTATTCAAACCTCCTGAGCTGCAATCCATCAAAACCATAAAACTGAACCCTAAACCTCTAAACCCCTAACGCAGGGACCTTATAAACACCTAGAGCCCCACCCTGAGCCTTAGAACCTAACTGAGAATCTTATACCCCAACCCTCGGCCTCAACATGGGGGCCTTAATATTCGGAATCGGGTTCGGGGATGTACTATAGTAACTAGTATATGTGCGTATGCATGTGTGCGTGTGTGCGTGTGTGCGCGTGTGCGCGTGTGTGCGTGTGTGCGTGTGTGCGTGTGTGCGTGTGTGCGTGTGTGCGTGTGTGCGTGTGTGTGTGTGTGTGTGTGTGTGTGTATGCACATATGTATATATATATATATATATATACAGAGAGGGACTACAAGGGTATAGAGTTAGCAAAATATTCCAAGCCTTTTACAAGACCCTGGACCTTACCCTTTGGCGCCATTATACTTCCTTCTTGTGGTTCATATTTGGGATCCTACAATAGGGAAACCCCCAAACAGAAACACCCTAAACCCTAAACCCAACACCTCTCCTGAACCCTAAACCCAAAATACCCTAAACCCTAAGGCCCTATGGAGCCTATGGGTACTGAAGGGATCATGGGACTTCGTAACTAGGGTTGTAACTCGGGTAACTCTACTTATAACTACTTATAACCCCAATTTAGGAACTTATAACCTTACTTACTAAGTCCCATGATCCTCCAAGTAGACCCTAAACCCTAAACCCCATAGATCCCTTTAAGGAACCCCTATCCATCCCTTCAAGGAGCCCTCTTAAGGAACCCTTACTAAGTCCCATGATCCTCCAAGTACAGCCTTAATAACCAGCCGGGCGGCCGCTTGTCGCTTCGCGGAGCAGATGGACTCGACCTTGAAGCTCGAAGAGTCAAGGGGTTAGGATTCAGGGTTTAGGGTAGGCTTTAGGGTTTAGGGTTTAGGGCTTAGGGTTTAGGGCTCAGGGTAGGGTTTAGGGTTAGGGTTTAGGGTTTAGGGCTTAGGGTAATTAGGGTTTAGCAGGTTCAGGGTTGAGGGTTTCGGGTTTAGGGCTGGAAGGTGCTGGGTTTAGCGCTTGTAGCGGCATAATGGGAATATGGAGGGACCCTATCGTGCAACTACTGGTACCAACGTCCCTTGTGTGGTCACTCTTCGTGGGTGGGGGGGTGGGTCCCTAATCCAAATCTCATCATACATGGGAGTTCCCGAACATCAGGGGTACCTTTCTTGGGGATCCTTCTCACAAGGATCCTACTATTTAGGGTACTGTATAAGTCCCACATCATCCTGCCCTAAAGTAACAGAAACAGTCATCGTCATTGCCTTTAAGGCGCGTCATCCCCTCATCCCTCTCCCCAGACCCCCGTGAGGATCTAGAAAGTAGATCGCCTAATTGGGGCCCTGTACTACTAAGGGTACTTTATAGGAGCCCCCATTAAGGGATCTACATTTTGGATCCTCCCGGTGGTCTGGGTCCTAGTGGTGCGCATGATTCGCAAATTGGAGGCCGCACCGTCCGTACTAAGACTTGGGCCGGGCCGGAATAGGAGGTAGTCGAAGGGTTGGTAGAGGGTTTAGGGTTTAGAGGTTAGGGTTCAGGGTTACTAAACCAGACTGCATATCCTGAACCGCAATCCTCAACTTTCTGTTGCTAAACAATGGACCCTAACGAAGGTACTGTACGGGCCTCAAAAACTACCCATAATATTGTGGGGGTTCCTAAAAAAGTATAGTAAAACATACCCCAAGACCCTGCTCTAATTATTAAGGCCCCTACAGCATAGAACCCTAGTAAAGATCCTGTCCACTTGAAGTCCTTTAATGGAACCCTTTACGGGAATTCTACTTGTTAAGATCCTTACAGGAACCCTGTTCTTATTATGAAGGCCCTTGTATTACACACTTATACTACCCCGTATAGTAACCCTTATAGAACCCTGTTTAAGAACCCTTTAAAAGGAGCTAGTAACCCCTATAGTACACCTTATAGAACCCGTTTAAAGGAACCCTAGATTTATATAGGTAACTAGTTATGACGGCCCCTGTATTACGGACGCGCCTGCATCGCCACCACGCTGAGCACTTCGAGCTCGATCCGGTTGAACTCGTCGAAGCAGCCCCACCTTACGACTTCGAAGAGCAGGAAACCTTTTCGGGGCTTTTGGGGTTTAAGGGGTCTTTAGGGCGAAGAGCGTTTATAGGGTTTTTTAAGGTTTAGGGTTTGTAGGGTTTAAAGGGTCCTAGCAACTTCGAAGAACAGGAAACCCTAAACCCTCAACCCTGAACCCTAAACACCTATAAAGCCGTATAGACTTATAGATCCTTTAAGGATCCCCCCGCAGAGATCCCTTGAAGGAGCCACTTAAAGGTTCCCCTTCTAGGTCCGTAAACCCTGAACTCTGAACCCTCGGCTGACCCTAAACCCTAACCCTAAACCCTTCTGATTCACAAGGTTTACGCAGACGAAGATTTAATTGAAACGACTACGAACAACTGCGTGGTCGGGACCGGCTCCCGACCCAGTTTTTGGATACATAAGTGAGTAGTTGTCAAAATTATGGCCCCTTTTTGGGTACCCTAAATATTAGGTACCGCATTATCATAAGGACCCCAAAAAACGGACCCTAATTTTCACAACTACCCAAGTGTACTCAAGGAGCTCCGGCCGAAGCAGTCAGATGTTCCCCTTTCCCTAGCACTCTCTCCTTAGAGGGAGCTCCCCTAAAACTGGGCCTTGGCTGTCCCACCTCCAGGAACCATAGGGTTTATAGGGTTTAGGGTTTAGGGTTTAGGGTTTCGTAATATAGAAGCCTAAATAAAATTACCAACATTATTCCTTCGGGCTCCTTACTAATGATTACCAAGAGGATCCATAAACACTCCTATTGTGGAATTTGGGTCCCAAATCCACAGTAGGGATGGTCTTTTGGGACCTAATTCCATAGTGGTAGTGTATATGGACCCTCTGGATTATATACTCCAGAATCTACCCCAGTATTGAGGCCCGCAAAACGGGTGGGCCCTGATGTGGAGACTTCTCTTCACCGGCCGAGGCTTATGCGAAGCGTTTACGCTGATGTGAGACATTGCTCAAGTCTAGGTTTCTGCACTACGCTTGATGATAGACTCCTGCATTACCTTAAGGACCCTAACCTACGGAAATTATGGTATATTCCCATGTTTGTGGGTAATGCAGGATTTATATCATCAAGCGTATGTCACTATGTCTGCAGAGCTTGGGGCGGGGGGAGAGATTAGCGCTCCAACCCGGTCGAAGCTGGAACCTGCGCCCCCACCATCCGGAAACATACCACTGAAGCTTACCTCGGAACCTTCGGGGACTCCCGGTGCAGCAACAGGTAAGTTCCAAGCCGAGCCCAGATTGGCCCCCACCAGAAGGCCGTCCGCGGGCACACTGGCGAAAGCTCGAAGGCCTGCTGCGAGACGGAGGCCTTCGGCCTCTTGCATAGCACTCCAGACCGGGCCAAGCGTTCCACGAGCTGTGGCAATCTTTTCGCCGGTCGAAGAAGACGCCGCCTCTCTGGTGTGGTGCTCGAGTTCCCCACAGGCCTCCACCAAATCTTCGTCGAGCTTGCTGCTCAATGCCCGAACACGCTGAACGAGCTGGTCCAGATGATTGCCCAGGGAGGCCGCCCATGTAGAAAGGGCCTCTTTGAGGGCGTGCTTGGCTCGCACATCATGCGGAAGAGTTACAGCAGTGCTTCCGAACCCACGAAGACTCCCATCTAAACCCTATAAGCCCTAAACCCTAAATCCCAAACCCTAAACCCTAATCCCTAAACCCTTTAGGGTCCAAACGGGCTTAGGGTTTTGGGCGTAGAGGGCTGGGGGTTTGGCTTTAACCCAGAAGCCTACGCCTTCCGGGCTCCGTCAACCACCCTGCGGTTACCGTACATATCCACGGTTTAGGGCTTAGGGCTTATCTACCCCAGAAACCTGATCCCCAGCATCATATATAATATTTCTAAATATGATGATAGTGATGATCATGTTTCGGGCGGTTTAGGGTTATATATAATGTACAAGAATTTGAATCTATTGCCTACGATCCCTATGATATAGGGGCCTGCAGGTGTGTGGGGGCTATAGTCTACAATAATCTACATCCAGGGCTTGTGGTGCGGCCCCGGCACAGGCCACTCATGCAGAGGCCCTTGAAAATCTTAGCCATATCTCTGAAGCGGTGCTGATCGGAGCAGTTCGTGACCACCTCGGCAGGCCGGAACCGGGAGAGCCGAAATCGGAGACCCTAGGCTACAAGTTATGAGGAAATGGAATGGAGAATTAGGGATACCTTATTTTGGGGTCCTTATAATAAGGATCCTACTATTTTGGGCACTGTATTAGGGTCCCCCTATTTTCGACATGGTAGGCTATATCTGCGGCGAACCCCAAGTAGACAAGGCAATCCTGGGCTCTGCACGACGAAGACTCCCAGAGTGCGTCCCATATCCTTGCACCCAGAGCTTCGCACTTCGGTCTTTCTCAGCTTTCCGTAAGAAGCCGCTACGATGCTGGTTTGGGGTTTAGGGTTTCAGAACTTACCATTTCGTACTTGCTGTTGCGCATCTGGTAGGGGCTTGTGGCGTAGGAGATTGCATAGGGCCTCGGGGATTGAAATTTAGGTATGTTGGGCTTGGAGTTTAGGATTTCAACAAGCGTCCACAGCGTCCTCCTCCCTAGGATTTATAGTTTGAGGTTTAGGTTACGGGTTTAGGTCTTAGGTTTAGGGTTTCGGGTCTAGGGCTTGGCTATGCTAGTAGTTTAGGGTTTTTGGTTTTAGCTTGGGGTTGGGGTCTAGTGGGTTTACCTGGCAAGGGTTGTGCCAGTCGGTGGGAGCACACGTCAACGTAGAGAGACACGCACACGACTACTGGCAACGACATCCAAGCACACGCCGAACAATGCAAACATATTTACATGTACCGATACACGCTTACATGCACACATCCTGCAGTCAAACTGCAACCCTCAACGTGTCAATGAGTCTGTTGGCTTGCGCATCCACTTAGACACATACCATAAAGACACACACACACACACAGAGACAGACACAGAGACTCCCCAACATCCGAAGACAAACCCTGGTGGCCCTGCTTGGTGTGTGAGATCTCCTTCGTAGTCTAAACCCAAAACCCTAAACCCCCAAAACCCTAAACACCCAAAACCCTAAACACCCTGCACCCTAAACCCTCCTTCGTGGTCTCCGTCTTGCCGGTTCCGGCCGGACCGGCTGGGGCGCCGCCGAAGAACATCCCCAGAGCCTCTGAGTTTAGGATACTGTTTTTGGGTTTAGGGTTTAGGGCTTTTAAGGTTTTCAGTTTAGGATTTTGGGGTTTAGGGTTTCGGGCTTTGTAGGTTCTCGCTATAGGGTTTTGGGGTTTAGGGCTTATACGGCTTTTTAGGTCCTCGCTGCAGGGTTTTGGGGTTTGGGGTTTATAATGTCTAGGGGTTTATAAAGCTTTTTAGGCTTTCGGTGCAGGGTATTGGGGTCTAGGTTTAGGATTTTGGAGTTTCAGGGTTGCAAGCCTTTTTGGAGCAGGGGTTGCGATGAAGATCAAGGCTGCGGGTTCGTCCGGAATTTGGGGGGCCCATCGTCATACCTGGAGGATCATGGGACTTAGTAAGTGAGGTTATACGCACCTCAATTGGGGTTATAAGTAGCCATAAGTAGAGTTACCCTGATTATGACCCTAGTTACTAAGTCCCACGATCCTTTAAGTAGCGATTCAGAGCCAGGGCTTCGATGCTTGTCTTCGAAGTCGTCGCTTTCAAGACGGTGGGATCAAGGGCCTTAGAGTTGTAGGGATTCGTGTTTTGCGCTCAGGGGTTAGCGTTTAGGGCTTAGGGTGTGTAGGGTTCCGGTTCTAGGAAGAAGTATTCCTCAAACAGGGCTCCGGTAGCATTTAGCGCATAAAGACTGAGACTTGAGACCATGGGTCCTTGGCGGTATCTTCGACACCTTAGCTAACAAAACCCCAAAAACAAACTCAAACATAACGTCATAATCATATAATAGCTACTTTTATCCATCTTACTCTCAACCTTTCTAAACCCTACACATGCGACATCTTCTAAACCAACATCTTCTAAACCCCCAACCCGCCTGGGACTGCGTCACGTAACATCGGTCGGTCAGGGCCGTGATCACAAGGCGCTCCTACCCAGGGCTGTTTGGGACCAGCGTAGCTTCGGAGTGTCGGAATTCCGTCAACCCAAGACTCCAAGACATGCTTAAAAAACATGAGAAAACGTAGACACCATGTTTCGTTCGTTTCTCTTATCGATTTCACATCCACAAACCGCAATATCCGCAATCATCTGCTGTTCATCAACACGCGCATTTCGCAAATGCAAAACCAGAGCATCATGTCATACATCCTTCCTTCGCGCTCTCGTCATGATAATTCCGGGACTTGGGGGTGGTGGCTAGGTTAGTAGGGTGTAGGGCTCAAGAGAATGACAAGATCGCCCTTAACATTCCAAAGAGCCCCCTTAACCCTGAAACCTAAGCCCAACCCTAAATCCATAACCCCGGAAACCCGAACCCTAAACTGCATCGTAAACCCTGAAGCACTCAGTCGGAAGTGGCGCTGCGCAGGATTGCAGGCTATGGGCTTAGGATTCGCCGGGTTTCAGCTGACTTTATGCCACCATAACAATGAGATAGGTGATAATACCAACAGCAATCAGTAAATTGTGCATGTATATATATACACACATATACACACGCACACAGTTACATACTTAAACATTTACATACTCACAAACTCACGTACACACACACACACCTACATGCATACATACACGAATGCATACATACATACATACATACATACCAACATACATACCAACATACATACCTACATACATACATGGTAAATACCATGTGAGGGTACCTCAGATTGGCTTCGCAAACAAGCCGCAACCGGAACCTTCGCATTTAGGGCTTAGCTTCACTGCTTCGGCGGTCCTTGCAGCCCAAGTACTCATAGGAGTACACGAAGTCCACATCCTAAGCATCAAAGATGTGGGTTTAGGGTTCAACAAAGGTTCTCGTCCGTGGAGTTTGTTGGAGCAGATGGTCTTCTTGAGAGGGAGTCCCGAAAGACCCTCTTTTGGAACACCAGTTTAACAAACCGTTTGGGCTCTCCAACTCCGGGCATGCATGAGAAACTGTGGGGGTTGGAGTGAGGATGCCGATAACATGAGCACGAGAATGATGAGGCTGGTGATGAAGGGAAACCCCAAACCATCCGCAATTACAACCATGCTACACGTTGAAACTTACAACCACGACTGACAAGCCAGAATCCAGCAAGTACAATCTGAACCCAACTTCTGCAAACCGTACTGTCTACTGCCATCCTTTGAATAGAACCGAAGCCAAGTTGCCGCAATAGAGACGACGGCGTGATCTGTTTCTTGCTTCCAGTACAGTCGCGTCTGCTTCAGCCACCTCTGACTCCCGATGGCTCAGGGCTTAGATACCTACTTGGAGGATCATGGGACTTAGTAAGCAAGGTTACAAGTACCTTAATTGGGGCTATAAGGAGTTATAAGTAGAATTACCCTAATTATAACCCTAGTTACTAAGTCCCATGTTCCTTTAAGTAGATGTTTCCGGGGGAGATCGATAAAATACCCACAACAAGGTGCCAGCTGGAAAGTTGCTCCAGGGCACGAAACATTGGTGGGCAAGAAACCTGGAGGACAATTAAAGGGTCATGGGACTTAGTAAATAAGCTTATAATTACGGTCTCTTTAAAGGGATCTATAGGGTTCCTTAAAGGATCTATGGGGTTTAGGGTTTAGGGTCTACTTACAGGATCATGGAACTTAGTAACTAGGGTTATAATTAGGGTAACTATACTTACAATTACTTATAACCCCAATTAAGGTACTTATACCCCTATAACTAAGTCCCATGAACCTCCAAGCATGCATGATGCTCACTTTAGAGCGCCCCCGTCTAGGGGTCCAGAGACTCCAAAACCCTTGAACCCAGGAATGTCCAATAAATGATAGCAGAGATCGATCCCTCTATCATCTACCGTATATTGCTTCATGAAGTACTTAGGATGTCCTTAAGGGGGGGTGGTCCAAGGGGGGTAGGTAACCTAGAATACTTCCTAAGCTTCCCTAAGGTTCCCCAAAGCTCCCTAGTACCCTCCCCCCTTGAACCACCCCCCCTTAAGGATCCTATAAAGTACGGGTTTTTGGCAATGGAGCCTCTGCAGTTCAGGGCTTGTTTTCAAGCACAGAACAATCTGGTAGAAGCAACTGCGACTCACGTGTCCATCTTTGGGATTCGGGTTTAGGGTTCAGGGTGTTCGATACCCACGTTCGCTCCGCACGGAGATACGAGATCTAGCATGCCAGGGGACTCGAACAAAAAACTAAACCCAAAGCCCCAACTTACCTCGCAAGCATCATGACTATGAGTGCTGCGAAGATGCTCGAAGTCGTTCTCGTCCTTCACCTTGCCGTCTCGGGCCTGCACAGGTCTCGCGAGAAGCTCCCTGAAGCACATAAGCTTTGTCCTAAATACCTCAGACGAACCCTAAACCCTAAATCCTAAACCTTGGTTTCGGGTTGAGGGGCCAGAAGACCTGAATTTTCTTTCCGAGTGAGCATGGATGTACATCTTTCATTTGGGGGAGGCTTGCTCTGGACCGTTGTGGCGCGTGTCTTCCTTGAACTGACTTACTTGTTGGCAGCATTTAAAACCACTCAAGCAAGATTCGCGATGATGCAGCGATGTTTGATTACAGCTGACTTTTAGACTCAACAACTTCAGAAACCTGCGATACACCGACTTCCGGAACATTTTTCACCCAACCCTGAAAAACCACCCCGGGAGCCGTAAACCTTAAGCCTGCTCGTCCAAACCAGTACGTTACTTTCATCCCCAAGTCCGGAAACACGTTTCCCAACACCCAAACCCGGTGTGGAGCCCGTATGGGCAACTCTTACATGTAGAACCCTACACCCTAAACCCCGGTATAGAGCCCTTACATCGCCGGGCCGAAAGTTTCGACCCACTTGTGCATCATCTTACATACAAGCTCTTGCGGAGTAGCGGAGTACCTCAAAGTGCCGTTTACCCTACGCAGGCCAGCGGAGTAATTACTACGCCGTTTTAAAAATATAATACTTTTTAGTTCCGGCGGAGGCCCCAAGGGTCACTTGTGTTAGGAGTCTATGGGGAAGAGGGTGGAGGCCCATGTGTTGTAAAGCATGTTGAGGCTAGTGGGTCGAACTATCGGCCCGGCGCAGTATGGGCAACTCTTAAATGTAGAACCCTACACCCTAAACCATTGTTCGAAATGTATTAAGAAAACGAAAAACAGCACTGCATAGCAATTTAAGAGTCTCCGGAAAGGGCCTTCTTCCAGACCTCTTGGAACAGGTCTTTCTGATGGACATGCACAGTGACGAGAGTCTCCTTGACCACGGGTTAGGGTGGTTTGGGTAGATGGTTTAGTCTTTAGAGTTGAAGGTTCAGGACTTTGCGGCTAAACCTTTCAATGGTAAAGGGATGGTTGAAACCACCAAACTGTTTCTGGCCGCTTGGGGCTCTGCCTTTGGGCTTCTCACCTCAAACCTTGTTCCTCGTCTTGAGTTCTAACTGCAGCACCCCCCGCCAGCACGTGTAAAACAATGGCCTCTCATCGCGAGTATATTTTATATTTCATTTTCATACATATTACTTATGAAATTGTTTCGACAAAGAATCTGATGAATGTTCAATTATTATCGAAAGTGAAATTTAAAGACACTTCTGGGCGAGTTTAAGGAGCCGAAAGGGAAAGCACGGAATCACTCAAGGCCAAAAAGCAAGGGATACAGGCCTGAACCCAAAGCTGAACACAGGAGCACCCTACCCTAAAACACCATAAGCCTCCTAAACAATATGAACTCTAACCCCGACACTCCCGAAACCCTACCTTCGATGGCCTCCCTAAGCCCTTAAGCCTTTAACGCGACCCCATAGTTATAGAAACAAAACGGAGCCTCGGTGCCCAACAGCCCAAACCGACACCACCCGCGCAGCACCTTACAACCCGCAGCCCCAAGGCTTAAACCCTAGAACCCGAAATTCTCAAACCCCAATCTAAGCCCTAGATATTGGAATCCCAAATTCTTAAACCCTAAAGGCTCTTATGGCAAATTTTGGTGCAAGGCGCGAACTTGGTGCGCTCCATTTTCGAAGACAGGTTGGTCAAGCAGATGGCTGGCCGACGAGTGGATTCGCGGGTTTAGGGTGGGTTAAACATGATAAGAAGAAGAAAAAACAACAACATCAACACTAATAAAACTACGAAGAATGTGAATACTGTTCAATGAAAGTATTTTATACCCCCAAAACCTCATTCTTGGTATAAAGACCCCTTTTTTGTGTGCTTCGAGACTCTGGGGGCTGCAGGTCCGGAGGTTGAGGGAGTTTGAGGGACTTACGCGTCAACGCAAGTCGCCCAGAGACTCCAACATCCCCAATGAACAGGGCTTCGTTAAGGGATCCTTTAAGGGATCTATGGGGTTTAGGGATTTAGGGTTTAGGGGTTTAAGGTCACCCAGAGACTCCGATTATCCCTTAATTAAGGAATACCTAGGGCTTCTTTAAGGGATCTTTTAAGGGATCTATAGGGTTTAGGGCTTAGGGGACTCCAGTATCCCTTATAATTGAGAAATATTGAGGGATATTGGAGTCTCTGGGCAGGCCTTCTACAGGGATTTGGGTTTGAGGCTGTGGGGCTTTAGAACTCTTGTCATCGTTCTCGAGCCTACCCTAAAGCCTAAACCCCAAACCCTCAGCCGAAACCCTACACCCGAAAACCGGAACCCCAGACCCTAAACCCTAAACCCCTAACCCCGAAAGCCCTACTGTAAACCCTAAACTCCTAAAGCCCTAAACCCCTAAACCCTAAACCCCGAAACTCTAAACTCCTAAAGCCCTAAACCCCGAAAAACACCCTCAGCCCTTGAGTGCCTACCAGGTCGGTCAGCATCTGCACGAACTTCCTTTGCGGTTTAGGGTTTAGGAGTTTAGGGTTTAGGGCTTAGGGTTGGGTTGTAGAGTAAGGCAGCGGCCTTGCATAATGTGTGGGTTCTGTTTTTGGCGTACATCGTGGGTACATAAATGTAGATATGATATACAGATCTGTCATATCTGTGTATTTATATACATATATATATATATATGTTTATGAAAATGAAGGAGCCCGAAACGAATATACACAATCGCTCCGGCCCCTATATCATACTGCTTGATCTCTCAGTCTGGGGATGCATGCCATATGTAATATAGGGGCCTTAATGTTTAGAATAGGGTGTTGGGCGAATATTATACCATAATTTTAACAAGGAGCCCTAAAATAGTATTGGCAATTATTGAGGCCCCTATGTTAGACAGCTTCCAGGAATCCGGGCTTGTGACTGGGAATTGGGAGTTCACTTGGAGTTCTATACATGTAGGTTTTGGGATTTATTTAGGGTTTATGGCCGGGTTCGATTTGAGGTTCAGGATTATGGGTTCAGGATTCAAGGGTTCGGGGTTTTGGAACCCTAACCACCACAATTCCAACCACCAGATGCAGCCCTGCATGGCCGGCGCGAGGCGGGAAAGCCACATACTATCAAGACCCCTAGATATGACGTACCCCTAGCCTTCTGAAACTTCCATTTAGGCTCGAACAAGATGAAGCCAAGATGCTTGTTGGCAGTGCTCATGACCGTCCTTGTCTTCACCCGTGCGGAATAGGCTACGACTTGTCTCGGGACCTCTGTACCACCGGACCCTAATCTCGTCATCTGCTGCTTCGTAAAGCTTTGATTAACAGCACCAAGTCCTGAAGCATGACCCAAAGGCACCAAAGCCGTCTGCCCCGTCTTGCACCTAGAAATAGATCAAACATCTGCTCAAACTTACAGCACCAGTCTTGCTGTCATGACCACCGTCAGCATCAGCAATATTATCATCTCACCATACGTAGCCATGACCATCATGACCATCGTCATCAGTGCCATACTAAACAACTAGAACTGCCACTGTTGCCGCCGTCACTACGGCTACCACCGCTGTCGCTACCACTGCAGCCGCCATTGCCACTAGTAGCATTCCTACAGCCACTGCGGAGCTGCGGAGGGTGCTGCTCCTGTTGTGCTTTACTGTCCTCACATTGGCCGCACGCAGTGCTGAGTTGTGCTACAGCTGCTACGAACTTGGAGCCCGACAGTCAGAACCCTAAACCAACTCTCTACATCCCAAAACCCACGGACCCGTAAAGCCCCGGATACTTGTTTTCATCGAATATACAGTCGGTTCTTCAGAATTCACAGTCGGGCAGCTTGTCTTTATCCCGCGCCATGCGCGTCAGCGCATCCTGAAAGTCCGCTGTCCAGATGAGCTGGATGCCTTTGGTGATGTAGGCTTTCCCTTTCAAAGTTTGAACCTAGGACCTTACCTTAACCAAGAAAAACCTACCTTTTCAAGGATCTGTATAAGGAAATCATAAAACGGAACCCTAAAAAGGTAGGTTATTCAGGGTTAAGGTAAAGATTGGGTTTCACGTCTAGGGCTCTCGGACTTAGGATTTCTCTTGTATGCGTGCTCTCCGTCAAAACACGAGCACCGATGTTCATTAATACTGAGCAAACGTCTGTCAGAGCAGCTGGAAAAATCAGAGATGATTCTGCACAGGTTGGGTGCATAGAAACTGGAAAACAGTTCGGGAGCGTGTTCAACGAATGCAGGGTTCGTACAAAGGAGCAGTACTGAGTCTCCACCTTCTCGCCTCAAAGCCGATACAACTGAAAGGAGACCAAAAGGGCTTCGAGTAGCTAAGCTCCCTTACTTCTAGGGGAGACCCCACTCTTGTCCTAAGAGAATGCGCCTCCCTTCGGCAATGTAGGAAGCATAAGGACCCTTAGGAGGCCTTCAAAGCCTATTTTAATAAGGAAGTTTAATACCCCACATTCAACTTAATTACCCCCGAAGGGTTCCTCTGTAGAGGTCCAAGCAGCCCAGAAGGGACACCTGCGCAATGCACTTCTTGCCGAAGTCGGTCATGTTCATGCTGCCGTCTGACACCTCCGCGACAGCGAGTTCGTGGGCTCGGGCATGATCGGCTGAAAGACTTGGTAAAAGTAACCATTGGCTTAACGGCTAACTAGCAAAACTGGACAGGGATGAAGGCGTTTGAAGGGTCATGGTTTGGTTACACGCAGTTCCAGCGGCTTGCATCTCTGGAGACAGGATGCAGGGATCAGGGCTGTGATCTAGCTATCCCCCGAAACCCCAAGTTGCCGTAGAAGCCGGGGAGTTGGAGCCTGGTAGCCTTGGCCATAAGCCCCAAACCGTAAAGCCTGCAACTAGGGTTTAGGGTTTAGGGCTTATAGGGTTTAGGGTTTAGGGAGCCTCGATTGCAAAGGGCGTCTAGAAAGGTTGCTATGAAGGGGTCCTATGAGGGTTAGATACTTGGGTTTGGAGGCTATTTAAGCCTTCGCACCGGGGACCGCATGGGGAAATTGGCAATTCGCTGTTTCCTAGACGGGCTGACGTTGACGGAACTCTCAAGATTCCAGACAAAAGGGCTCAAAGATTCTATAGGCTTCCAAAGGGCTCTAAGATTCTAATCATCGGCTTCCTAAACAGAAGGGCTCTAAGATTACATTCTTTTGGGGTGTAATTGCAAAGGCTTCTGCCTAACAGAACATCGAGGCTGGCCCCTGCAACCCCTGAACCGAAAAAAACCTTAAACCTAAACCCTACACACTAAATCCTAAACAGTAAACCCTGAACCCAAAAATCCTAAACTCTGAGCCCTAAACTCTAAGCCCGAAATCCTAATCCTTAAACCAAAAACACTAGCCCCTGCCTGCCCGCATTCCATCGAGCAAATGCGGCACTCCCGTCTCACGGAGCGCTGCATTTCCGACTGGCGCGGGCATGGAAGGTCTAAATGACATGAAAATTATAGAACCTGAAAGAGGACCCCCGGAAGCATCTGAAATGCAGGGGGTGTCTTGAAGGCTCACAGGTAGAAGGGCTATGCGTATCTTAAGTTAGAAGTTAGACCTCCTGAATAGCCAAACATGAACCTAGAGCCCCCAACAAGGTTAATAAAGGTGGCTTTGGCGGTTTAGAGTTAGCAACGCCATCTCTTAGGGAAGGCGCACCCTTGACCCGATCTTGCCATCAGATGCCATGTTGACCCCAAGCCCTGAGCACCAAACAGTCTGAATCCAGCAAGAAGCCCACGAAGAAAAAGAATCTGCAGACCCCAAGTGCGTGCAAGAAAGCTCCTTAACGACACCGGAATACTATCACTTACCTTTCGACCCCCTGTCACGGCCCTAAACTAGCCAGGAACCAAGCCCTAAACCTGCACCCCTCCTCGGTCCTCCAAAGCAAGCAGCCAGTCTTCGATGTTGCCTTGTGCCTGCACCGGTGTCCTCGGCTACTCTCCAGTGATTGTGCTTGTAGGCTTATTTGTGGGCTTAGGGGCTCCAGGTTCGGGGTTTAGGGTTTAGGGTTTAGGGTTTAGGGTTGAGGACTTTTGCCTGAGAGTTGATCTTGTTGCTCCAAATGACGTTAACGGCTGCCGCTGTCACGGTAACTACGGTTAGCTGGCTCTACCAATTACCAGGGTGATGCTGCTGATGAGGATGATGGTTATGGTGATGCTGATGATGGTGATGATGACCACGAGGACAATCGCGAGGGTGGTGAAAACAATGATGACCATGATGATTATGGTGATTCGGATGATGATGACGATGACGGTGATGCTGATGATGCTGCTGATCATGATGGTGGTGATGATGGTGATGGTGATGGTTGTGGTAGTAATTATGCTGATGGTAATGGTGGTTATGGCGGTTATGGTGAAGGTGATGGTGCTAAAGATGACGATCATGAAGAATAAGACGTAATGATGACGAGGATGATGGTGGTAATGATGAAGAAGAGGAGGAGGAGGAGCTGGTGATGGCCATGGGGATGATGTTAGTGATGGCGATGATGGTCGTGATGGTGGTGATGGTGATGATGATGATGATCCGATTATGATGATGCTGGTGGTGGTGGTGGTGGTGGTGGTGGTGGTGATGTCGACGATGACGATGATGACGATCCGGATGATGGTGATGGTGATTGTAATGGTCATTGTAGTTAGTGGTGGTGGTGATGGCGGTATCTAGCTATGGGACAACTTTCAACAACCGCGCTGATGTCACCACCCGTCTGGATGCTCTTGGCTGGAATGCCATGCAACCGTTCAAAAGGCAGGTGCCTACGCCCATATGCCCGTTACACCGGCCTCAAGGGCTCCCAGGTGGGATGAAGGCAGATGGGAAATCCCGAATCCCAAATACAAGAGCCTCAAACCCCAAACCCCGGGACCCTAACCCGATAACCTAGACGCTAAACCTGATAACATCGAAACCCTAGACCCTAAACCCTAGAACCTAAACCCTAGAGACCCTAAACCTAATAACATCGAAACCCTAGACCCTAAACCCTAAACCCTGTAGATCCTAGAACCTAAACCCTAGAACCTAAACCTTAAATTCAAGAGACCCTAGAGACCCTAAAGCTAACAAGAAGAATCGGGGCCCTGTCTCTGCAGGTCGACGATCTCCTGCACGGAGCCGTGGGTCTCCATGATTTTGATCTCAGTCCACAGAGGGATGAGTTTCCAGAGCTTGTGGGAGTTTAGGGCTTCGGGGTTTGGGGCTTTAGGGTTTAGGAGTTTAGGGCTGAGGAGTTTAGGGCTTCGTTTGAGGGGTCGAGGGATATGGGGCACAAGAAGTGAGGCGCTTCTGTGATGTACTCCGTACTCCCCCAATACACCCACAGACATAAAAGGTTAAACTTTTCGATTCTTACTAAACTATACGAACCTACAAGTTTAAAGGTGGGGTATTGGGGGTCTAAGTAACAACAGTGCTTGGCAATCATGCAAAATCGAATGATCAACAAGTTGTTGGCTCCATGGTGATCCGCCTTCAAGGGTTTATGTTACAGGTGTAGGCGCAGGCTTGGTGTTGAGTGCTAAGGCGTACGTCTTAGGATACAGGATGCTGGGCTTAGCTGATCAGGGTTCGACTCACTACAACAAGACTGCAGCATGCTTTTTTCCCCAACAAACCTCGAACCCTAAACCCTAAACCCTAAACCCTAAACCCCTAAACCCTAAACCCTAAACCCCTAAACCCTAAACCGGACTGCCTATGACTACCTGCAAAGCCTCGTCTACGGCTTAGGGGCCGAACACTCCCAAGCCCAGGTCATTCCGATACGAAGAGCATGAAGCCAGAGGCACGGTTTATGAGGGTTTAGGGCCCAGGGTTTAGGATTTAGGAAGTGAGGGCTTAGGATTTACGACTAGGGTTTAGGGCTAGGGCCTAGAGAACGAAAGGATGAAGACAGCATTGCGGCAGAAGTGCAATCTTCTTCCTGTCGACCTTGTCAAACTGGACCTTGTCAGGTTTCGGATATAGGGTTTGGGGTCAGGCAGTGACTTTGGGTTTATGATCTCATGCTGCTCCCAACATTCATCAACATGGTGCTTAGCCAAATTCGAAACTGAACCCCGCAACCATAACATCTGCAACATGAAACCTGATCTTGGGGCTCAGAGGCATCAGCATGTTTACCACAGGCTACTGGGATCTGCAAGGCCCGGGCCCCTGCGACTTCGATTCAGCTTCTACAGTGCGAGCCTCCACTTAGCAGGCCTCCGTCAAAATAACACCTACGGCTGCTGGGGTCCCTTGGAGAACACGGAGGGCCTAGCTTCGCACTTGGACGGCGGAGCGAACAGGCTCGCCGGCACAAAGCGCATTAAGCGATTGAGGGTGGACCTCCTCACGTCGTGCGCTAAAGTCCTCCGGGAGGCCACGAGCTTCGAGCCCCAGTTCCAAAACAGGGAGTTCCGCACCGTTGTTTCGGTGCCAGTGAGACTACTCCCATGTCGCCCCAGCGGTCTGCATAGCATACCAAGTGCTCAGCAGCTGCATGTAGTAGGCTGTGGCTGCCTGCTCGAGCAATAGCTCCGGTGTCCAGAGCTCCGAAGCCATCCAGCAGGAGGTGGTCAGAGACACCTGAAAGATGAGCACATGCATCGCCAAGGCGTCCCAGGAGTCTCCCACACACTGTGGGTTTAGCATCCAGGCAGCTTCACGGTCGGATTGGGGATCCGCCCCGGCATAGGCATGGGCAGGGCAAGCATCCAGCATGACCACGCCACGGTTCAAGAACAAGCCCTGCAGCAGCTGAGTCCTTTATCGGCTTCGAAGGGCGCAGATCAGGTTCTTCTGCGTGTGTGGCGGGTCCGCCACGTCGAAGGTGGCATGTTGCCGGTATGCCAGACCGCGGAAGCAATACTAAGCTTACATTCGACCGTCAAGGACTTCCACAACGCTTTGAAGCACATCTTTTCGCTGAAGTCTAGGAACAGATGCGCTTTCGAGTTTAGCTTCTAGGGCTCAAGAGTTCCGAATGATCCCATGTGACAGCTTACAGACCCAGAAGGGCGCAACAACTTTAAGGTTTAGGATTTGTTGGTTGAGGGTTTGGGGTTTGGGGTGGCCGCAAGCCCACGAGTCCAGAAGCCTCCAATACCCCAGCACGCAACCCTGCCCAGTCCCCAAACCCCGAGCCCTTGAACCCTTCGACACTTAAGCCGGGAAGCCTTGACCCCCTGAGCCCAAATGCAAAAAACCCTTTACCGATGTAGCACGACGAAATCAAAGGCCTTGTGAAGGTTCCTAAACTCTAAACCCCTAAACCTTAAACCCTAAATCCTAAAACCCTAGACCCTAAAACCCTAAACCCCCAACCCCTTAAGCCCCGCACACGATTGATGGCGTCGAAGAGCTTCTCAAAGTCCTGCGGCTCTGGTTTACTGAGGGACCTGCGTTTAGTTGCCGTTAAAAGTGTGTCGGTTTAGGGTTGGGGATTTTGGGTCGAGGGTTTTTTTTTGAAGGCCTGTTTCCGCCTACCGAGACAGAATCCCTTCAAGGGAAAGCGGTCCTTGCAACCCTCAGGCGACACTACATCCTCGAAACTGCAGGGTTGAGGGTTTAGGGTGTAGGTTTTAGGAGAGTCGCATGATAATATATTACATACTGCTGATCCTACAAATCCTGCATGATCTTAAGGACCCTAATCTATGGGGAATTATGGTCTTTTCCCTATTATGGGCAATTGCAGGATTTATATCATCAACCGTAGGCCATGGTGCGATGCGGCGGCTTCGCGGCGGGATCGGGACTCGGCACATCGTTCGACAGAAACAAACACATACATATGTATATACACATAGTATGTAACTATATATACACATATAGTTATATAAACAAACAAATGTGTGCGTGTGTATGTATATATATATATATATATATATGCCTCGGCCCCAGCCCGCTAAGACTTGATTTCGCCTTGCAAGCCCAAGCTGTCCTCTTGGATGCTCTCCGGATCGCTACCTTGCGACAGGATCTTCAGCAACACCGGATCGCTGGTGAAGTAAAAGCGCCTTCAATGTCAGAAGAGCTTTTTCACAGTTTCCACAGGGATTTGTCTGGTTCTATACGGCTTTAGAAGATCTTACAAGGTTTTGGAGGGTTTTACTAATTGGGGTTTAGGGCTTAGGGTCTTCATACACATTTTATGTATGACCATGTAGGATTGAGGGTGTATAAGGTTTCGGGGTGCTGGGCTTCGGGGTGTGAGGTCTTGGGGCTTGCGGGGTTTGTGGTTGAGGGCTTTTGGAGGTTTGGGGAAGTTGATGTTCGGGCTGCGGCGTCAGGTGCTCGCGAACAAAGGGTGGGGGAGGGCATGGTGTTGGGAGATCTACTTGACGATCGGAAGACGAAGAAAATACGATAAAGCTGCGCTTGCAAGCAATGGCTAATTTTGGGACACAGGAACTCCGAAACTGTAGAGATATGTAACAGGGCAACTCTAGCATACCCCTAAACTCGTCCTCAGTCGGCCCGCCCAATCCCTAAACCTTAACCGTGTCAAAAAGCATTTGCTCTGACGGGTCAAAAAAACCCTAAACCGCAAACCGAAGCCGGGGAAGATTTGGGTCGGCTTACTTTAGGGCCGCTGACAGGCCTCAGCCAAGTTAGTTGAATTCCCACCATGGAGTTCTGGTATCCTGCCATCTGTTTACGTGGGGATGAATCATGAGCAGCTTCCTTTCTAGGTCTTGGGCTCCTATACCTACTTACATCCGAACAGTCTAGGGTTTGGGGTTCGGGTTTTGGGTTAAGGGCTTAGGCTTTAGAGCGCTCTACCTAAAACGGTGCATACTAGCTCTGCCGCCATCGCGGCGGAAACTTGTTCCGCTTGCCCTCGAGGTAGCTTTCCAGTGACTTCTGGCACTTCTCCAATCCTGGCATGAGAACGACAGGGATACCTTGGGTACGGCCCCCACTCAGTAATAGGTGAATAATATTCATAATATAGATATAGTAGGACCTTAATAGTAGCCCTATTATAGACTCAAACCCAAAACCCCTAAACCTTAGAAGCTGCCCCCACCCTGTAATAGTGACTAGAAGGATTATACTAGGGCCCTATTATATTCCTATTATATTCCTACTATACCACTATTACAGGGTGGGGGCCCCTTCTAAGGGATACCAGAGTTTCCAATGGACGATGGTCTTTAGTAGCACCCAAACGAATAGTAAAAACTACATAACGGCAACAATAGCAAGAAGGATGACGATAAACATAACGATAGCGATAAGAATTATCAATGGAAAAATGGATTTGAAGCATCCCCTCTTATCTTGAAGAGACGGGACCCCTAAACCCTAAACCCTGGCTGGGAGTTCCTTTTCGTTTGCAAGGCCTCCTTTACATGCCCCACGTGCACCATTTATGGGACAAGGTGTGCCCTTTGGCCCCAGGCCCTAAACCCTAAGCCGGAATAACCTACCTTTTTAAGGTTCCTTATTATGATTTCCTTATATAAGTCCTTACAAAGGTAGGTTATTCCGGCTTCAGGTAAACCCTAGACCGCTAAACCCCTAAGAACTTATTCACATGGCAATCTGAATGTCCAATAAGCCCTAGACTCTAAACCCCTTAACTTGGCAATCCAAGTCCCTCGCAAACCCGAAGATACAAGCTGGGAGCCCATAATCATAAACAGAGAACACCAAGTCCGAATCCTAAACCCGAAGCTAGCCTCAACCCTATTCTAGACCCTATAACCCCTGAAGCCTGGATACCTAGAGGGTCATACCCTACCCAGTCTTTACTATGGTAAGGATTTGTAGTGTGGAAAAGTAGGACCCTAAAACAAGCGTAGGGCCTGACCCTCAAGGTAGGTCCCAAGCCCAAAACCCCTAAACCCCAAAAGCCTGGACCCCTAGGCACTAAACCGTAAAACTCATAAAACCCAAAACCGCATAAACCCTGAACCCTACGGCTGATGATATAAACCCTGCATTACCCATACGCCATAATTCCCATAGTTTACAGTAGGGTCCTCAAGGTAATGCAGGATTTATATCATAAACCGTACTAGCCCTAAGCTCCGAAAAACCGCTGGGTCATGTCAGGGCACCTTCAGAGAGCACCGGAAGCATCTGCTTCAGCATGTCGTTCCTAGTAGGCTCGAAGCGACCGGCTTGAAGCGACAGAGGCGTTGCAAAGAATGAAAGCATGCTTTATAGGGCTTGGGGGGGTCGAGGGTTCGGCGTTTGAGGTATAGTATGCTTTAGGGCTTAGGGGTGCAGGCTCTAGGGTTCAGGGTTTCAGATGTAGGCAGGTTTAATGAGGTTATAGAATGCAAGTTTTCGGGTTTAGGGTCTTGACTGGAACGCAGATTCGTGGTGGAGCGTGCTTTTCAAAGACGAAGCATCTCACTCGAAATTGAGCCCTCCAATCTTCTGGGTTTACAGACGTGCTTGGAGGATGGCAGCCTCTGAATACGTAAGAAAAGCATCCAACTGCTGATGGACAAAATCCTGCATGACCCTAAGGACTCTAAACTATGGGAACTATGGTATATTCCTTATAGTGGGTAATGCAGGATATATATCCCTAAACCCTAAAACCCTATAGATCCCTTAAAAGAACCCCTGAAAGGTACCCTTATAGATCCCTTTAAAGGGGTACTGCAGGAGGTTGTCCATCAACAGAATCAGTACCCTAACAGCCGACAGGTCGAGATCGCCCTGAGGCATCAAATCTTGAGACTCATCTGCCAAAAAGGGGGGTTTAGGGTTTAGGGGTTTAGGGTTTAGGGCTTAGGGGTTTAGGGTTTAGGGTTTAGGGGTTTAGGGTTTAGGGTTTAAGGGTTTAAGGGTTTAGGGTTCAGGGTTTAGGGTAAATTAGGGCGTCGCTCAAATTTAAAATCACGACCCGGTTCCTTAAAGCGCCATCCGATCGAACCGTAACACTCACTGAAACCCCCGAAAACCTTGCAAACAACAAAGGCCCGTGAACCAAAACACCTAAACCCACCTCCCCAAAAAAACATGTAACAACGAAACACAACAACAAAGGAGTACTATAACTAAAACCAAACCCTAAACCCTAAACTCTAAGCAACACCCGCACACAAACACCGCTCAACTCCAGGCGCGCTGCTGGCAGCAGGGCACCACATACTTCGTGTCAGCCGACTTCCTGGGCTGCTAAGAGAGTGTCTTAGGGGGGGTTAGAGTTTAGGGGTGTAGGATTTAGGGTTTAGCGTTTAGAGGTTACGGGGTGGGGGTTCAGGGTTTAGGGTCTACTTGGAGGTTCATGGGTAGTTTTTAAGTAGGGGTATAAGTAGGATAACTACGGTAATGACCTATACTAGGGGACTTATAACTTCACTTAGAACTACCAATGAGCCTCCAAGTAGGGTGTCGGGACGGAGGGGCTGAGGGCTTTAAAAGGTTTACGAATTGGTGTTCAGGGTTTCGGGTTTGGGGCTTCGGTTTTACGGTGTTGAGCTCAGGGGTCTGAGGTTTAGCCACCAAACACCCAACAAGTTAACCTGCCACCCTGAACCGCAAACTGACCCTAAACACATCCGATCCCAAAACTCTCGAAGATCCCTTAATGGGGGTTCCCAGAATAAAGTACCCTTAGTAAGTATAGGGCCCCAAATTAGGGGATCTACTTTCACATCCCAAACCCTCAACACCCTCCGCACGAAAATCCCAAGGCCACCTTCGCACTGAAGGAACTTTCTTGGGATGTCATGAAGCCGGGGTTCCAAGTTCGATGCCTTTATAGGAAGGATCCCTCTAGTTTATAAGGGTCCCTTCTTTAGGGCCTTTAGGGTTTAGGGTTTAGTATAGGGTTCGGGGTTTGGGATAACTCATGTTCTGAAACCAAGACAGCCGACTGCATGATCTTGAACCAGTCTTTGTCGATCTGCTGGAATTTCTTGGCCTGAAGACGGACACTTTGGTGTGTGGTTGTTCCAGGGAAGTTTTAAGATCCGGGTTTTCCGTAGAAACATGTCAGGGTATGAGGTGGCGTTGTTCCTTGATGCTGAAACCTACACCATTGTATTGCCAGGCTGAAACCGTGCTGATCAACGGAATGCATATGGGAATCGGGCGTGTTTACTGCGATGTAACGACTTGGGTGTAGGGCAGTGGGGGGATTTACCCAAGCAGGGCCGAAAATCAACAAACTGATAATCCCTAAACCCTAAAACCAGAATTTTGAGCTTTGGTTTCGGTGTGTCGGGCTTTCAGGTATCAGGGGCTTTCGGTTGCAGGCACACTGCTTCGGGTTTTGGGAAAAGCGGGCCTCCATGGGCATCTGCTTGGCGATATCTCCACCGGTGAAGACCGACTCGAGAGAGGTCCACATTTGCTGAACCTTCGAGCTTTAGGTTTCAGAGTTTTGTTCAGGTTTTGGGGGCTCAGGAGTTAGGTCTTCAAAGCACAGGGCATTTGCAAGCTTTACCTGTTGACCTACCTACTGACCTACAGGCTTACAGGGCGTACGGCTTGTGGGACTTAGGCTCAACGGCGGTACTCGGCATGGTCAGCGCTCAGAGTTTGCCTTTGTAGGGTTTCGAGTTGGGGATTTAGAACTGAAGCCTTTTGGCAATGAGAGCTTGCCATGCCGTCCAGCGCCTGCTTTTGGCTTAAGCCTTGGATTCAGCTTTTCGTAACCTCAAAGCTGGATGCTTATCCTAACGGTCCATGTACTCATATAGTATATACACTGGCCTTAAAGTACGTTACTCCCTATATAGGTACATTGGGCCCAAAGTATATGCTATGTGGGTACATTGACCCTTAAGGTTACACAGGGCACCAAAAGCTGAAGTCGTTTGCGCTTAGAAGTTCGTGTCGATGTTTCAGGGTTGCGCGCCCTAGGGTTAACGTGCGGCTTCCAAGCTAAAGGCCTGACTCTAAAGAACTTCGGGGGGCTTCCCATCAAGACACCCCTACCTATAGTCTGCATTGTAGTTCCTTTTCTTGGTTTAACCAATCATATACTTAGGATCCTATAAGGTAACCCCCAAAAAGGAACTACGATGGGGACTATAGGTACTATCTGATAAGTCGGTTTAGGGTTTAGGGCTTAGGGATTTGGGTTTAGGGTTTAGGGCTAGGATTAAGCCACCATCCACGGAGTCAAAAGCTTTCTATCCATAACACCTGAAAGCATCTAGATCCAAACCCTAAGGGTCCATGTACCTAAACAAAACACACATTGGCCTTAAAAGTACTCCCTATATGGGTACATTGGGCCCAAAGTATATAGTATTTGGGTATGTGGACCCTGAGGGAAAGCGAACCTTGAAGATGAACCCTGCCAACGCCTCTCAACGCCACACCCCACACCGATTCCGCTGATCCCCGACCACCCCACCCCTTCCGAACCTAGGTTTTTCCCCTTTGAATCTCACACAACGTCGTCTCACAGCCCTGCAATCGCCAAGAAGGATTAGGGTCGAACACTCAGGTAGTTGCAACATGTTGCTAAAAATCAATAAGGGTTACGCGTAGGGTTACTATAAAGGAAGGTTACTATAAGGGTATTATAGAGTTCCCAAAGGGTCCAAGTATCATTATGGTATATACGTAGACCCCCAAAATACCCTACAGGTATATACCATAGTAAAACTTGGACCCTTTGGAGTTACTGGTGGTAGCTAGTTTAAGGGCTGGCCTTGAACCATCGCTCGATGGTGTCGCCCGTGTCTGAGAGCGTGGACAGCAAACCATTCAGCTCCTGCAGCTCCCAACCCTAGTCTCGGTAACTCCTACCGTTGATGATATAAATCCTAGGGTTCCTTTAAAGGGATCTATAGGGGTACCTTTAAGGGGCTCTTTTAAGGGATCTATAGGGGTTTAGGGTTTAGGGTTTAGGGATATAAATCCTGTATTACCTTAAGGACCCTAAACTATGGGAATTAAGGTACATTCCTTATGATGGGTAATGCAGGATTTACATCATCAACCCTACTGTAAATCCTAAGCCCTGAATCCTAGGCCCTAAACCCTACGCCCGATAAACCCCAAGTCGCAAATCCTCACTTTCAGGAGCTAAACCCTGCCTACTCTCCTCTTTGAACGTCCATTTCTTGGAGGTTCATGGGTAGCTATAAGGGTTCCTTTAAGGGTCCCTTAAAAGGGATCTATAGGGATTCTATAAGGGTATGGGGTTTAGGGTCTACTTGCAGGTTCATGGGTACTTACAAGTAGGGTTACAAGCAGGATAACTATGGTTATGACCTATATTTAGGGGACTTATAACCCCACTTATAAGTACCCATGAACCTCCACGCAGAGGTTTAATTTCGACAGTGTCTTGGTGTGTTAGAAAATCTCGGAACCCCCAGGAACCATGTTTGACAGTGATCAGGTCCGTATGCTGGGGTCGAGGGGCTCTAGGTCCCGACAGAAAGCCCCGAGACTGCCTTACCCTACAGGTCCAAATAGGGTTCCTTAAAGGGTGTGCGATTAAGGGTTCTACAAGGGTTCTGTAAGGGCTTCAGGGTTCAGGGTTTAAGGGTCCATGTACCCAACACAGTATATACTTTGGCCTCAAAGTACTCTCTATTTTGCACCCTGGGCCTGAAGTATATATATATATATATATATATACAACTGCTCTACACGGAACCTTGGGGTTGGCTTTCCAGTCGGTAACGGCGTGACATCCACAAGCGATGAGATCCCCACAACTTCCACAGCTGCAATCCAAAACCCAGGACCTCACGCAGAAATCGTGTAAAAAGCTGGTTTAAAAAAACAACAAAATACCAAAAAATGCTGGAGCCACAATGCATTTTTAACAAAATGATACAAATCTTGAACGAATCGATCTGAATGCCAGGCCGAAGCCTTGAAGACTGGCTCCATACGGGAGTTTGGGGTTTAGGGGTTTGGGGGTTTAGGGGCTTAGGGTTAAGGGGTTTAGGGTTTAGGGTTTAGGGTTCCCAGAGACTCCAAGATCCCTTACTTAAGGAATGTACGCTTAAATCACATTAGTAGGATCCTGATATAACTTAAGGAGTATTCCTTAATTAAGGGGTATTGGAGTCTTTGGGTGCTCCGTATAGTCCAAAGTCCTCCTTGAAGGGAATCGAGTGCCGCTGGGCCTCAGGGTGCTGGAAGGAAGGCTTTCTCGATTAAGTTCAACCATTATAGAGTATGCATACTGAGCATACTGGCATGCGTGAGCATCACCATCAGCATCATCACCATCATCATCGTCAGCCACATCACCACATCACCACCATCATCAGCATCGCCACATATCGCCACCCTCCTCGTCATCAACAGGCACTATCGCATCGCTAACCATCGGCATCGTCGTCATCATGTTCATGGCCATCAGCCGCAGGACAACTTACCTAGCACAAGTGTGACAAAAATCGTGGCAGGTGAACAGTCGCGTCAATGACAAGAACAGGTGTGGGCATCACAAGGATAAGCAACATAGAGAATATGGCAACCACGGCAAAAGCAACAACAGTTCGTACTAGTGTAACAATCAGGTTCCACGTGGTTTCTTCCGATTGCATCATCTGGTGCTTTCTGACATACTCCGAAGGAGCCGCAGCATCAGCAAAGGCCGAACACGAGGCATTCACGGCGTACTCAAAACTGAACCCTCAACAGCCAAGCTTGGAGCCTTCGTGTTGTACTCTCAACCTGCACCCGAAGTAGCCGATCTTGGGGCTGCATGGTGTGCCCTGAACTCGGGTTGATGATATAAAACCTGCATTACCCATAATAAGGAATATACCATAATTCCCATAGTTTAGGGTCCTTAAGGTAATGCAGGATTTATATCATCAACCGCCTCAACCCTTAACCTTCAACCAAAACTCGCAACCCAAAACCCTAAACCAGTAACCCCTGAACCCCTAAACCCTCAACACAAAACCCTCAATCCAAAGCCCTCAACCCTAAACCAATAAGCCCTGAAACCCTTAATTCCCTCAACCCTACGCCCCTAAACTTGGGCACAGGGCCTTGGCTGACTTCTGAACCCCTCCTAAAAGTTAAACTTTTGACCTCCTTAAAATAGTTAATATAGAAACCCAAATAGTTAAAGTCCTAAGAGCCAACCAAAAGAATGCCAAGGGGCATTCATGGTGTTCAGGTTCATCATGGTCTCCTCCAAGGCTTCCTGGGTCTCTCCCACCTGACAGGCGCAAAGGGTTCGGGGATATATGGGAGTTTCCGAAAATAGGGGTACCTTAATTTGGGGTCCTTATAATAAGGATCCTACTATTTAGGGTACTATATTAGGGATCCCTATTTTCGGAAACCCCCATATTTCGGAGCCTGATGGTTTAGGGTTTGATGTTTAGGGCTTAGGGTTCAGGGTTTAAGGTTTAGGGTTTAGGGTTTATGGCTTAGGGTTTAGGATTTAGGGTATAGGGTTTAGGGCCTAGGGTTTAGGGCGACGACTAGGTTATATAATATTATGAGGCTGGTCATAGTTCTAGGCTTTAGGGTGTAGGCCTCTTGAGGTGCACCATGAGGATTACGGTACTTTGGGTCCTAAAAGGTTAGCAATATGCAGGGGTTTACTGTGAAGGTAGCGATATGTTACCCTTACAGGCTTGACTGGGTTCTTGTGAGAGAGCTAAGCTTCAGCTATGAGAATAAGGGAGGCACATTATTCACTTTATCTCTTTGCTACGGTAACTTACAGCTATTGTAACTTAAAGTGGCAGTCAATACCTGGTAAATAGAACTCTGAACCCTAAACCCTTAAACCCAAAGGGAGCAGAGTGATTGCGGTTGATGTCATATTTCAGGCACGGTGTTCTGGTTTCACGTCTTGGGTTCGGGATTATCGAGGCTCTCAGTGCCTCCGGAAGTGGAACCCGAAGAGCATGCCAAAAAGGATGCTGTAGATGCACAGCGTCGCAAACTCGCCTGAACGCTATATCCCCAAATCCCTAACCCCGAGAACCCTGAACCGTAAACGCGCGACAGAAGTCAGAAGCATGCTGTACCAACTGCCCTGCGCAACTCCGCCTTGGCGCCACTGAGGACGATTGGGTAGTCGCGAGATTTCCAGGTGCCGAAGTCGAACATCATGGCTTCCTAGGCAGCTAGACAGTTTTTCGGCTTTTGGGTCTTGGTAATTAACCCCAAGCCCCTGAGGTGGGATGGCCGAAAGACTAATAAGAACAAGAAGAATAATTGCACGTTGGAGGAAGAATCAACAAGAGCAACAAGAGAAGAAACGTCACAATAAAAGGGTAAGTTACACTCGTTCATGAGCAAACGGATCGGGCTCCTGAATTGTTCAAGCTTTGGAGTGCTAATCCTAAACCCTGAACACTGAACCCCTAGCCCTAACCCCCAAATACTAAAGCCTATATTCTA